ATTTCTCTGAAATGCAAATTGAGAGAAATAAATGTATTCTCTGACATATTCACAATTACTGCAAAAATTTATATTCGCTGCTCTCAAAATAAAAAATCACAGTAAATTATTGTATTGAACAAAGAGGCACCAGTCGTAAACATTGCTTTTAAAGATTATGGCGAACTGGTCCTTTGAAGAGATAAAATCTGATTCCGAGAAAAGTCGCGGGAGAGAGAAAGCGACGCGGGTGAAAATAAAAAAATACCTCCGCAGTCGCGAGTGTGCGCCGAAAAGGCAGGTGCCGTAAAACGCGTGCTCCGAATGGCGTGTATGTGCGCCGGAACACACCACAAGCCCCTTGCAACCGACGCATAACTACGCACAATTTTGGAGGCGCAAAGTTGCTGGGCGCGTCAAAACACTCTGGCGCAGTGAAAGATGCAGAAATCATGAATAATTAATCTTGAATGAAAGGGAGGAAGGTGCAGTAGGAATTAAACTGTCACAAAGGAAAATGTTCAAAGAAGAAAAATAGTTTAACTTAATTTTAAAATTCTATAATATGTTTTATACAACTTTACTTTTTCTCCTTTCGTGAATGTAAAAATTATAGTGAAAGTTTATTTAAAATATAATTCTCTTGAAAAAGAGTGAGTTCTCCATTGTTCATTTTTATCATTTCAAGATGAATTTTAAAATATTATTAAGAAATTTTTGACGTACATCCATGCACGTGGGTGGAGAAAGATGCAGAAACCATGAATAAAAAGAGGCTCAGTTGTTCTCAAAGAGAAACGAATCAAAAGCTATAAGTTTAAATAAACTTTTGAAATTAGGTAATATTCAAAAATTCTCCAATCGCTGCATACGTTAATTCTTACCCCAAAACCACGAATTTTTAAAAAGAAAAGATATATTAAAAAGCAAAAAATTTAAGTTCCTTGAAATAGAAAAAAAATTTGTTCTCCAAAGTTTATTTTCATGTTATTCAAAAATATATCCTTGAGAGATTTTAAATGCACCTTTTCGGTGGGTTGCAACCCCTTTCCAGGGGGGCACCACCCGAGTCGACGCCAAAACGACGCTTCTATTATTGCTGGGGTGTTTTTTTTTTTCGAAAGCGGAGCGCATGGTGCGGCAACAATGGCTGGGGGAGTGGAGAACTCGTGGTCCCCCTAGCCTTGCAGCGAGAGACGCCACGCAGCATCCCTTAGCAACGCACCACGAGGGTGAGTCATGTGGCTACGCATGCGCGCGCGGGGTGCGCTGGCGAGGGGCTCAACATCAGACGCAGTGAGCAGAGCACGCAGCCTCCCCCGGTGCACATTGCAATTCCGTGCACATGGCAGGGGGTGCGAGCGAGATCGATGCTCAGCCGGCCACCCCTCGCATGCACCTTGATGCAACCCCACGTTCTCCATCATCCCCCCGCCTCAGCCACCCCCGGCATACTCTAGAGAATAATTCCTTTTATCTCGCGCCGTACGCGCGTAGACATGAATCATTTGCTGCTTCGGATGAAATCACCACCGACCGGCTCACCAAAATTTCTCTCGGCCGACTCACCCACCGAGCAGCTGCCCCCGAAACGAACAAAGCAATGGGGTGGCTCGCCGCGCGTGCACCCTCCCGCTCGCTACTCCTCGTTTTGGCGCGCACAAGATGCACTCCGTTACGACTTTTGTTATTCAAATTAGCCCTCTCTAGCTCTTTTTGTCGCCCCGAATGAAAAAGCTAGGCGCGCTACTCCCAGGTGCTCAATTTCAATTTCGGAGTAAGCGAGAAGTAAATTCGAGGGGATTGTTACTCAACAAATGGAAATAAATGTATTTATTTTTATGTAAACGGTCTTTCAATAAAATTCGAGAAAAATTTATAATATAAAATGAATTTATTATTAACACCGATACAAAAAATTTTCTTTTACACAAAAAAAGAAAAATAAAACAAAAAGCAGATTGAATATAAGTTAAAAATTAATTAAATATGATAAAAGTCAGTGAACAGCTTGGTGACCTTTGCAATTTACTAATGAGTGCAACACAATACATTTTACATAACATTACTCATCTTTAAAGCTTTTGTTTGTTATTTTGATATATAATAAAATTTTGTTTTAAGGATTTGAATTATTCAATTAGAAAAGGTAAATTCGCAGCTAAAATCATTTCTTATTTTTTTTATACTCATTACATCACCCTCGTAATGAATGAATAGAGAAATTTGCATTCTGAATAATTAGTAAAAAGAGCAAAAGCACAAAATTCTTAACCATTCACAGGTGAAAAAGTTAACCAATGGCTCAAGATAATATACCTTTAAGATAAAATGTTTTAAACGTTTAGCAATAAAAATTATTAAAATTGAACACATTTTTTTTACGTATAAGCTTTTGAGGTTTAATACTGGTTTCAACGACGTCACTGGAGTCTGGCTGAATCGCGCGTGGTGCTCGTTCGCGCACCTTGGCAATTTCGTCAGCGTGTTTTCTGCACACCGCGGTCGTCAGTCGCCGCGTGTCTAGCTCTGGAGGCGAGCCAGGCGGCGGCGTGTTTTGCAAGCGATGCAGGGAGATCGCGCGCTCTCGGCGCGCAACCTTGGTCTGCGTGCCAATAGACACAAGTGGAGTGTCTCGATCTGTTCTCCATTTCTAGGGTGCTCACCTTGACTGTTTTTGCAGTTGCAAAACCGAGCAGCGCCACAGGCAGGCCACTCTCGCGCGGGCACGCTGACCGAGATGCAGCCGGAGCTGCACCGTGCACTTGCCCCACAATTCGCGAGTGGTTGACCTCTAATAAAATATATAAATCAACACGAATGCAAAAACAAGTATATTTGCAGGAATTTTCACTTTCATGCGAGATTGTAATTGTTATTTTTATCCTCGGTCACGGACATTTCTAGAAAATATATACATTCAACTCTCGAGAACCGGCGTGGTCCACGGGGGTGCACCACCGGGCGTGCCTTCCTCCCCTTATTTGCACCCTCGTCGCACCCCAAGTGAATCGTACGCGTCCCCCCAAATGGATGCAGAGAACGCGCTTCTTAATTCTCTCTAAAACTCGCATCTCCGTTTCGCGTTTTCAAGAATTGAAAGAAAAAAAAATGGCAAGCGCCGTTTACGAATTTATTTTTTTATTATAATATACAGTTGAGGAGCGCAGCTGGAAACAATGGGATTTATTCTTTTTATTCAACGGCCACTCATCTCGCTGCACTGCTGCGGTGCCCGGCTGGATATTTGGAGGGAAACATTTGGAGCGCCCACCTTTACCTGACGCGCAACCATTCCGAGAGAGGAAGGTCGCTTTAGAAATTCCCCTTTCCTGTCTCGGGCCAGGTCAACACGGTGGACCTTTGCCGACTGGCGAACGGCACCAAATTTAATAAAAATCTCCTCCAGGAAAACCGCTAAATGCTCATTATGTTCCTTTCGCGGAATCGCTGTTCATTTTTCTCTCTTATCTGTCAAAGTTAGTCTTGTTTCGCTCGAGAGAGATTTTAATTTCCCGGCTCGAGAACTCTCGAGCAAATTCAACAGGACGGATTTGCTCTCGGGATGGGGTGCGAAGCGCCAACGGTTGTCTCGATATTAAAGGGATTCCTATCCCGTACACGAATCGGGGGGTCGCGCCAAGAGAGTTGGGGGAGAAAGTAGTGGTGGCCTTTTTAACCCGGTTCCTGCCCGGAGCAAGTTTTCAGACGGAACCCACCCCCCGAAAAAGAGAATGCACCACCAAGGGGATGAAATCAAAGGTAATCCCCGCTGAAATCCCGCTCAGAATTTACCACTTTGGCCATCTGCCATTCCAATGTTGAACTAAAAAATTCCACTCGCCGTTCTGAAGCGCCACCTAGCGAACTTTTTAGAAGAGAGTGGCATTTGTGGAGTGTGGCGTCCTCTGCAGGTTGTAGAGCGAACTAAATTTCAAATAATCGATACTGTGCGGAGGAGCTCAAAAGCACAGCAGAAATTTTGTAAGGACGGGCATATATAATAAAAGAGAGAAGCGCAAATTGGATTTCGAATTTGATCGATGAAATATCTGGCGGCGCACAGGTGTGCATCGCAAATCCAATAAAAGAACGGGCGTCAAACGGGGCCGGTGATTCCTTTTCCAACGATGTTTTCCCATCGACGAAAGATGCACCCTCGCGCGAAAATACGCGAAATTGGCCGTTATTCTTTGCTCTCTGAGGCCCCTCGAAAGGTTACAACAACAAAAGCATCAAGAGATGAGACGCGTGTTAGAAAGTGCGGAGCCGAAATGAGATGAAAGATGAGCGGCGACGAGAGATTGTCTCTCTAAGAGAGAAGAAGAAACGAATTTATTTAAAAGAAAGTGCTAATCCTTTTGCGCACCAAGCCCTTCTTTCACAGTTAATCCTCTTTCACTACAAAACAAATGAAGAATATGACAAAATTAATAAAAAAAATTATTATTTATATCACTTTTTAGGCCCAAATTAATAAAATATAATAAAAATTCATTTTATTTTGTAGAGCCCCTATATTAAAACAGTTTTTTTTATATTATGAAAAAGATAATCAAAAGCGTTTATATTATAACTTGAAAAGTTAGATCAAACAGGATTTGTCCTAGAATGAGCTGCGGCAGAAATGAATATTTAAAGAGGCAGCTCAAGAGCCGCCCACCCCCGCGCACCCTTGCAACGACCCTGATATTTAGGGCAGGTTTTAGCAGGGCAAGGTAACAACACGTCGAGCTGCAATTGAGGCCATTGATTTTTACATTAAAAGAGCGCAAGATAGACGAAATAATAATTTGGTCGGAGGCCGTGTGCTGCTGGCAGTCGGGCTGCACAAGTTTCGCGCAGGGCAAGTGGCTAAAAGTGAAACACACTCTCTCGGTATTGATTATGTTTGTGTGTGCTACGTAGAATTGCGCTGCTCTGCGCTCTCTCGCCCGCCCGCCCGAGTACGGATCTCGCTCGCTTGCATCCGAGCAACCCTAAATACGGCATATAATAAAATGAAAAACGGAGCGTTTTCTGTGTATAATTCTGTACAGAGGGTTTTATTTTCTCATTTAGTAGTACAACCACTGACGTAATAATTTTTTCATACATCGATTCTGTTTTTTCTCGTTTTTGTACCCGCGAGTGTTTATATTATGGACTGGTCTCGGTGGTGGAAAACAATAAAAATCAAAAGCAAATCAAAAGACGAAAAACTTTCTAACAGAGAATTGTAATGTTTATGGTCAAGAGAAAAGGCTGAACGAAAGACTGGCAAGTTGCGTTTTGTCATCCACTCATGACTGGCCAGGGGAAGAGTCTCTCAAATAATTAATCTGTTAACATTATGCTTTGGTATCTGCTCGGTCAGCACCAGCCGCACGCATAGTTTTCATCTGGCTGTCTCTCATCATTTTTTTTTTTAACTTTTAAGTCCGACGCGCACAAAGAGGTTGAATTTGATTCACGTACACTGTCCGGGGGTGCAGCCGATATGTACATTTCTAATGGCACTCGGTGCGCCGCCGGTGCTGACAAGTATCACAATGAGGCGAGAAGTTGCAGTTTTGTCCGGCCGAAGGTTCGACCGGGCCATCAGTCCCCGTGCACGGGCACCGTCTTCCGCCAGTTCCACGAGTCGCTCGTGTGACTAAAACAAAACAATTTTTTCTTTCAAAATCTAAAACACAACATCAATAATGGAAAACAATATTTTTTAAATTAAATAATTGCATCCATTAAAAAAAATTTAATTCAATTTAATTAATTTAATTTTGTAAAATTACCTTCCAAATAGAGGGTGCCACAGTTGTGGAAGGTTCTTGGTCGCCCCCTGGAGTCCCACGGTGAGATTTGAGGGCGTCGAGACTAGTGGGGCGCTGCTCTGTTTGGGCGCCTTGTTCTTCTTGGGCATCAGGTCACTGAGCGCCTTGCAGGCGATGCGCGGCTTCTGGTGCCCAGCTGGAGCAGGGTGGCTTTTCATGGGGGCCGCCACCTGAGCGGGGAGCTGCGACTGCAGCTTGGCTGGGGGTGGCGGGGTGTGCCAAGTGTCCATCGGGGGCGGGGGGCAGAAGCCCATGGCTGCCAGGTGGAGGGCGGTCAGACTGGCTGGCGGCCACGCCGGAGGTCCCGGAAGGGCCCAGTCCTGGGCCGCCCAGGCCAATAGTTCCGAGTCGGGCCTTTGGAGCAGGGCCTGCAGTCTGTCCAGGGCGACGGGAATGACGTCCGGCGCGAGCAGCGACGGGGGCACTGCCAGGAGGCGCGGGATTTCGGTGGCCGGACTGGCCAGCAGCGCCGACAGTCGAGACTGCGGAATCAGCAAAGGGTCGGGCACCCTGAGTTGAGACATGACTAGCCTCAGTTGGGCCAATGCGTCCATGGGGGCTGAAGGCACCACCGGGGGCGGCCTTTTGGGGGTAGCGGTGCTCACGCTGGTGGTCAGAAGTTCCATCAGGCGCGATTCATGCTTTTTCTCGCGCAGAAGTTCTCTCAGAGTTGGTTCGCCCTTGAGTCTCTTTGCAGGGGCCTCTGGGGTTTCCAGGGGCCTCTTGGGGGGTCTCTCGTGCACGTGGGCGGGCAAGGGTGATTGCAGAGACCTTGGAATTCCTGGAAGGGCCAACGGAACAGCCTGGTGCGCAGGACTGGGCGTGCGGTACTCGCAGGGTGGCTGCTGGAGGTTAGGGCTGGGGAGGGGTTTGCGAGGGAGGGGAGGAAGTCGCAGCAAGGGGCTTCGACAGGGTAATGGGCCTGGTTCCTTTTTCTTGGCGCTCAGGTCGGCCACCAACTCAGGGTTAACAACTGCCGGTTTCTCGTCGGTGTCTTCAAGTTCTTCCTTTTTGACACAACCCTGTGAAACCATCGCGTAATCACTTTCCAGCTTTTCAGTACGAATTTCACTTACACTCTTTTCTTCCCCCTCCAAATTTTCCACCGGCTCTTCAACCTCCTTGGCTGTCGGAACTTCCTCAGAGGTGGGTGGAACGTCTTCCTCCATTTCAAGGGCATTGCCCTCTTCTTCCTCAGGGTCTGGAACATCTTCCTCCTCCTCATTATCCTCCTCAGGAACGTCTTCAAGTTCAGGGTCATCCTCCTCTTCTTCGTGATCAGGAATGTCAAGGACGTCGTCCTGGTGCTCGGAGGCGTTGTCCTCCAGCTCAGGGTTTTGGTCTACCTGAACTTCGGCAACCTGGACTTTACCATCCTCCCTCTCGGACATTTCGTCCTCGTCACTTAATCCCGTCATACTGTCCGCACTGTCCCTCCGGATGGCGCCCTGCAGTTCGGATAACGTGTGCGTCCGTGGGATGGCGCGCCAGCCGGCGGGGGTCTTGGTCAACCTGAGACGGTTACGTTTGTCGTAATCCTCGCACCACACCTCCCCAATGACGCCCTCCTCGGCCTGTCGGACCCACACGAAGATCGGACTGACCCTCGGCCGTTCGTGGTGGTGCCTCCTGTGTTTTGACTTGCTTTTTTTCTTGCGCCTCCGCGGCGCGTCCAGTCGGTCGACCATGTCTCTGAGGAGCTCAGACACGGTGTCCTGCTCGGCGCCGTCGTCTCCGCGCACCGAGTCCGGTGGTGTCGGCAGACTCATTCGGACGTGACCGTCCGACGACAGCGACTCGAGCAGCTCCGAGGGCAGCTGATCGAGCACCACCGTGCAGCCGGCTGACCGCAGACCATCGTCCTCGGACGCGAGCGGCGACAGCTCGGACAGCCGCAGGGGCGACGCCCTCGGGCTCCAGCGCTTGATCATTTCGCTCCAACTCTCCGTTCACTGCATCCAGGCATGGCGATGTGCTCTCGTCCGCTTCTCGGCGACAACTGCCGTCTCGGGGGCCTGGGTGCGCCCGAGAGTGCGCGACTCGCGCCGACCAGCCACGAACAACCGCCCGAGCACCGCGACTCGCAACTCCAAACGACCGTTCGCGTACAACACCCGGTCGCGTTCTCGTCGCCTTCAATTTTTAATATTCGCGCACCAAATCGAAGCGACCTTCGCTCTTTCTTCTCCGCGCTTCCGCTCTTCTTTTGCAAAGTACCTTTGAATAAAAAAAGTTCCCTGAAGGGATCCAACGACCAGACAGAGAAGGAAGGTTCGTTCTCCGCGCGCAGCCGAATTGTAGTGGGTGGGACGGAAGAAAATACTGGAACGAGAAGGACCTCGAAAGCGATGATGCCGCACGATAAAAACTCTTCTCTTCACAACAACAAAACAGCCCAACTCGTTCTCGTTGGTGTTTTCAACGGATGATCGAAACCGACACGGGGGGAATATATGTGCCGCGTCGTTATTTGTCTCTGCTGCTGCGGCTCCAATTATTTTTAATAGAGATGAAATTCGGCGTGTATATATGGCGCGCCAGCCTAAGCAGACAGAAAAAAGATAATTAAAAAAAAATACAGTCGATTGTAATTAAGCTTAGGGTTTGTGATAAGAGATGTATGAGAGAGGACAGGTGCACGCAGGTGACATTTAGCGTTCGCCAATATTTTTCCCCGTGGCGTAGACGATGACGTTATTTGAGGGTTTATGGCAGGGAGAGAGAGAGTGGTTAACTAATTCGCCATTGGATTATACGGAGGTTGGGAATTAAAGCATTTGTAAACGGACTTCAAAGAAATATTTATAATTGATTCTGAGTGAATAACGTTTTTAGACAAAAAGAGTTAACAATTAATTTTATATAATATATTGAAAAGTTAAAAAGTAAGTCTAAACACGATAAAAATGCTTGTACATAAAAACTGTAAATTTCTGTACTGTAAATTTCAACCAACATTTTATAGTAAGGATTAGAGGCCCAGGAAGCAAATTATGTGTTGCATTTACTTTTTTTAAATTAATTTATAATTTTTCAATAAAGTAATTCAATCTTTTATTAAAAATAAACTGTAAAATTATTCTAAATTAAAATTTAAACTTCGAAATTTACTATTTAAATATACATTAATAATGGAAAATTATTTAAATTAATTTCATTCATAAATATCCACCCAATTCTTCCTCCGATTTTTTTTCCAAGACAGTTCTATCGACCGAGGCAATATTTTAATATTTAACGAGCGCGCGTTTCAGGCCAAGGCAAAAATATTGACAATCTGCGGGGCGTGCGAAAGTATATGTCCGCCGATAATTGAGTATGAAATGAGTTTTTGCTTCGAGTCTCGCCCAGGCAGATGCAGGATGATGGCACAGCATTGTTGGTGTGCAGCACATGTGGATGCAATTGCTGGCAGCGACGCTCGGCTTTCTTTCTTTCTCACAGAGAGCAGCTCGGAATTGCGCAAGAGACAACGCGAATGATTAATTATAAAACGTAGCTAGGGAGGTTGCTCAATGAGAAGCACAACATAATGTGCAACACATACTGGCCGCCGATGCGGTGGAATAAAAATCAGACGGAACTTTTGGTCGGTCGCGCGCCCCATCGGTGCTCCATTCATTTGGATTTGTGCAGGGCCGCTTGCTTTGTGCCGCACTGTACTTAACGAGAGGATAATGAAGCCGGCGGTGCACGCCGCGGAGGCGCACTCCGTGACCAACCAAACGCCTCTCCTCCGTTCCCACAGCCAAGAGCTGCATGTCCAGCCAGAAAAGCTACTTCTGCTTTCGGCTGCGATAAAATCAATTACGTACCCTTAATGCCGCAGCCAAGACCAATGCCACGTCATTCTTTTTGCATCGACGGAAAAGCAGATATAAACGCACAACTCTTTGATGCCAAACTGGATTTTTCTTGAATGGTGCAGTTTCCTCCTGAAAATGAAAAATATGATAAAACAGTGAATAAATAATATCATTGAGTAAGATTTTAGTGAATAAATTCATATGAACGCTATTTGAAAAGAAATTTTGATTTAACATTTTGATATTAAATTCATTTTTTGGTCGCCAAATAGATGAGCCTTTTTTTAAAACATCCGGTAAGATTTTGTTTGGTCGCGGATCTGGCCATACACAAATTTAAAAAATACAAGGAAATCTTTTATCAATAATCTGACAGAAACAAATCAATGATGATTTATATAGTTTTTAACTTCTTGATAACGTTTTAAGCAAATAATATTTGATAATATACAGCAAAATTGAAAATAACGTTTTAAATAACAAGTCTTTAGCTGGAAACCGCAAACGCAAGTGAACTCATTTAATGAAAACTGCGCGTCATGAAAACCATGATCAAAATAGAAAATTTAAAGTATTAATAACCAGTTAGATAAAAAAAAAAACGCAAGCGCTTGTATTCTGCATTTGAAGGCTTTGAACTAAAACTGAGAATCACTAGAAACGGCTGATTTTTAGTCAATATTAATATAATGTTGAACGAATGATGTGCCACCGTTGGAATATTCTATTTATTTATAGTTTCAGGAAAAAATATTGGTGTTGAATTTAGTTTGATTGAAGAAATTGACACTCGAGGAGATGATAATGGAAAATTGTTTCAATAAAAACAATTTTTACGGCGAGGGCAAACCCGACTTCTTCATTTCCTTGGATTTAATAGTTGATATTACTGACAGCATAAAAACGGCAAACTGCCAATTTTAATTTTCGAATAAACTTGTAAAATCCTGGATTTAAATATTATAATTTTGAAGAAAAAAATCATCATCATCAAATATTTATTAGACATACGTGTGTACAACATACAAAAATGGTAATACAATTACATAATTTATACATTTGATGATGATGAAGAAAAAAAATGCGATGGTTTTTACCCAAAAATTACTTAAATTTTTGAAAATCCAAACATTTATATTAACAATTTTTACAAAAAAAATATTGGCTCAGACCAAAGCAATAAATTCTTAAGTCATTCGCCACACAAATATTATGTGAGAAAATAATATAAATAATTATCATATTATAATTAATAAAGTTTTCAACGCCTTTTATTCGCATAAAATTTCTTTTTGTTCAAGGATTCCGGATAAACCGTGGTTAGCACACAAAGCGACCGTTAAAGTGGCTAATTGCTTTTGCAATTCATATCAGAGAGGCGTATCGCAATTCGGCTGCTGAAGTTTCGCAAAGCTCTCGCTCACAAAAAGAATGTAATGAAAAGGCCTCTCTCGTCGTCGCGTTTAATTTGTTCTCGCCAAATGCACCTGCGATTGTACAACTCGAGAGTGAACGTACCCTTTTACAAAAGCTACTGCTTGATTCATCCCGCTGCGATTTCGTTTCATGCGTTATATTGGAATGACTCAATTAACCCGCGGCACTTTTAATTACCCTCCCGCGAAGTCAGCGCGCAGTGGAAAAAAATAAGCGCGATGACGGCGCGGCCGAGATGAGCTCTCTGCAAAAGTGATCAATAAATAACGCGCGGACGTTGATCTCAGTCAGCAATAATTCCGCTGCCGCGGTTCATATTACAGCTCGGTGCGCCGCGTAAATTATCAGAGAAGAGTTTTTTTTCTGTCCAAAAGCTGGATGAGATGAGTGAGGCCTCTAATAAAACTGGAAACAGAAATAGCTCATCACGGCGGGGAGCACCACATCACTTTTAGCTCCAAGAGGCACAAAATCTACTCTTCGGAAACCCTTCGAGTTTCATCTAATAAAAGAGAATCCCATTGTTATAACAAATTGATGGATGGTTTGAAAATTGTATTTACTTCACCGTTTTCTCTCTATATAGCGGTTCAAATCATCCCAAGAATAAAATGCTCAATTTTCGCAACCAATAAAGCATGCATGCACAGTTTTAAAAAACAGACAAGCGTAAAGAAAAATCACCGATTGAAAATTTGAACTCGCTAATGAAAGCAAATTTCGATCGTTTTCACTGCGTTTAAGAATTTTCGAACCTGTCAGACAAATAATAGTGGAAAAAATGGAAGTTATTACTGAACACAAAATCAAACATCTTAAAACCACACTTCAATAACCTATACGTATGTGAATGAAATTATTCTTGCACCTTATAATTTAATAAAAACAATACAATATAAGCTCAAAATGCGGTACTTTTTTTAATTTGAACATTTATTAAGTTATAAATGAAAGAAAGTAACACACAACTACTTAAATATGTTTTTGAGCTGCAACATTAATTACAGAGTAAAACAAATTTATCAACACTGTTGTGCAAAGGGAGATTTATTTGGAAAAATTGCATTAAAATTATTAAATAATTTATTGCCCGCAAATGATAATTAAAGTAGATGGAATTTAATTTTCAATTTTTCTCAAGAATGAATTCAATTTTATTTTTCATCAAAGAGAAGTTAATGCAAATTAAAATAAATATTACAACAAAGACTGATGATGTGTTTTGATTGGTAAAAGTAGGAATGCTTTCATTCAAAATTTGAAAATAAATAACATTTTATAAGATTTCAGTGCTTTGCAGCCAATTTTTTAGTGGCAAATTGTAAAAGAATATTAAAAATGCTTTTCTCAGCATTCAAATGAGATAAAGTAGAGAAATATTTGGTTTTTATTTATTGAACCTTCAAATTTACTACGCCTTGGCTGCCATTTACAATAAAATTGAGAAGCATTAATCGCATATGCTATTTCCATAGAGTTTGGTTGTTTTGCAATCACGGAAGGCTGCGTCCAGCAAGTTTGTTTTAAACAGTACGCGGAGACTCGTCGTTAATCTTGCTGTGCTCGGTCGACCTTCGCGACGCGAATTCGAGAAAGGAAGGGTGGATCAAGAGCGGACCTCCGCGCATTACGGCGAGCGAAAATAAGGAGACAAGCATCAGCCTCTGTTTGCCAAAATAAAATAAATAAACGCGGTTGTGCGCGCGGCAGAATCTCCTCTTTGTTCGCCTGCTTGCTTTTGCTCTGCCTTGGGTGGGCGAAAAGAAAAAATAATAAAAAGCTCCCGCGAGAGAGAGAGAGAGAGAGAGAGAGAGAGAGAGAGAGAGAGAGAGAGAGAGAGAGAGAGAGAGAGAGAGAGAGAGAGAGAGAGAGAGAGAGAGAAGCTAATCTTATTTTCTTTCAGCAGCATTTGCATCGTCGGCGGAGTGAATTGTGTGTTTCACCGCGCCGGCCGCACCGAATAATTACATATTCCAGGGGCAGAGACACTTCCTGGAGAACACAATTGGTGCGTGGGAATTGATAAATAAGCCAGGGTAAATAAGTTTGTACTTGCGAGCACATAATATATGGAGGAAAACTGATTTATTGATGACTTTCCTTGAACCCAACTCTATGTATTTGTACAAATTAAATCGTGATTCAAAATAGGAAATATTATTTATAGATAGATGAAATTTGGCTTCTAATTTCATGTGGTTTGTAATAAAAATTGTAAATTTAAAAAATTAGATTAATTTTGCAATTACCATTTTCTTTTTGCCTTGCACAAAAGTTTAATGAAAGAAAGCCCTTTGCACTTTTCAAACAGAACTTAAGCATGCATTTTCAAATGTCTAACTCCTTTTTTAACAGATACAAAAACACACTCAAAAGCATCAGGAAATTTTATCAGTATAATTATTAGCATGCTTCAAGTGTGTCTGAGCTAAAAGAATTGCGCGCTTTTTTTTTTGTCGCACTTCGCTGATAGCCAAGATTAGTGAATTGGAGAGACTTAGGAAAGAACACTGATCAATTAAAAAACAACAAGGTTGATCGTTAAAAAGTTTGCGCTATCTGCAGGTTTTCAAGAGGGACACACTGAGAAAATTGCTTTCAAGATAAGTTATCGTCAGGCTACTTTTCCTTGGTGTTTGCTTTGTAGAAACCGTAGAAACTTACTTAAATAATCATTCTAGCTGCAATTTCAATGAAAATTTCCAAGACATACTAAATAGTTATAACTATACATTTTAATGTGTTTTTAAAATATTTAAATTTGGTCCTTAAAAAAGATCAAAGTAAATATGATAATTTTAATGAAGATATTGCTGTCAAATTAAATAAAATTGCAATTAAATTGTAATAATTACTAGAAATCTCATCCATAGATTCCTGCCATTGAAGTTTTTCATGGCTTTATGTGCCCAATACATAAATTGAAAAAGCTTAAGACAAAATATTCAAAGGAAAGGAGGTTTGGTCTATCACATAAGTAATTTTAAGCTTTTATATGAATACGAGAGGACTTTGACTTACTATACAATTAAAATTATCATTAACTGAAAATAAAGCATTCCATAAATGAATAAAAAAAACTTAAATAATTTTTTAATCCAGAATGGAACACTTCCTTGACATTATAACTCGTTCGTTTTGAATAATTTCTTTATTAATTTTAATAAAATGTTAAATTAGCAAAAATATTCTTGAACATTGTTGATTTTATAGAGTAAAAAATTTCGTTCCATTATCTAGCAGAGCAAAATAAATACCTTAAAAAAAAAAATGCCATGGAATATATAAAAATTATATTTCTTTTAAGAATCTGTAATAAATGCAACGGAAAGGATTGCAGCGCCACGTAGGATCGGTGCATGCATGTACCACGTTTGATGTGCGCCCAACATTCAGCGAGTGCAGCGCGCACAATTGAAAGGGGGCAACGACCGCGCCCCGGCACCAGCAAACAGCATGGAAAGAGGTTCACTTCAAGCTTTCTAGCGCACATCTGACTTGGTCGGTTGGTGAATATGTGTACAGTGGGTGGCTCGCAACACGGCCCGCCACCCCGTGCAATATTATTAGACACACACACACACTCGTATATATAAAAGTATAAAGTCGAGACACGACGAAACTGTGTCACCGATAACCGCGCTGACCCCTCTCTCTTTTAGGACAATAAACGGCAGGTCGCACCGTTTCTT